TCCCTTAAAAATGAATTGATTTTCCTTGGAATGTATCTTTCCTTTTTTGAATCAGAAGGGGATAAAGGATCAAGAGGTCGGATTCAGATATACATGCAGAGGAAAAATCAGGGCAGCTGAATCCCACCCTCATTGCTGCCTGGTAAGTAGCTTAATTTATCTGCTCGGATACTTCAGAGGGGCTCTACATCTCCATGCCTAAAAATCACATCTAATTGAAAGAAGTTTAGCCTCCAGTGACTCGGCCAAATAGAAACTTCTTCCATCTCATCTGCAAGACCTGTTGCTCATTTTAAAAGAAGATCCAACTTTTTGTGTGCCTGTTATGCAGACTGAAGGTGTAGGAAGTCCAGCCACTGAACTGAAACAGCCAGTGGGTGTTTAAGGGTCCCAGTGGCTGGTTATCCCAGATGACAGATATTTCTAAAGTATTAGTTGCATGTACTGCTAGAAGAAGTGGAAAGAAATTTGGGTGGGAAAAATGGGTGTTTACTATTTCCCCCCAGCAAGTACCATTTCAGACAAAACTATTAGCCATCCACAAAAAGCCAATGTTCTTTCTGTGGTTGTCAAAATATCAAGCTCAGAAGCTTGAGCCCCTCCGTGGCACTGGCTTACCTCCGAGATGCCTGTATAATAGCAATGTACTTAAGAACTGGCATTTCATCACACATCAATACATTACAGGATATACAATATTTAATCCCTTATTTAGAAAAACAATACTTTTTTAAAGGATTTATCATCAGCTAGTTTTGCTGCTGAAGGATCTGCTTTGTGCGTAACAGAAAGCTTATCCTTAGGAGCTATTTTGGTGCTGAACCCCCTACTCATCCAGTTTTGTTACATTTTTGGAACAGTGCGTCATGTTATAAACAGTTCCACAACCACCATTTTTTCCTACTGACATAAATTAGATTTACCCACACCCTGACCACCAGGAAGGATGTCAGAATCACAGCTGAGTTTTTTCACAACCTTAAGATACCAGCTCCTTTTCAGGGTGGAAAATGCTCAGCAATGGGAAAACATGCAGAGCTCAAGGAGCAGCCAAATGTCTCACAAACTCCTGAAAATACAGTGTGCCATGGAATCATAGAATACGTTTCTCAAGCTTGCAGACTTCACATGCTATTTCTGGCTGGATGTCAAACCTTCCCTCAGTACTCCAAAAGATGAAAAGTAATGCTACTGAAATGAGCAACATCAATAGATAGTGACTATTCTGAAGAAAAATAGAAATTTATTCTAATTATTAGCCAAATAACTGTGGACTTAACCAGCAAACTGATGTCTTTCTTTGGAAATTTTTGTAAGGATCACAGCTTTACGCCAACAGATATCAGATTGGTAAAATGATGCTTGCTCAGGTAGAAAATCCTCTGAATAAGGATTCACACAGATTTCAGAGGAAGCAGATTTAAGAGGAAAACCAGACTGAGGTAACGTTGTGGTATCAGGGGGATTTCAGAGGAACTGCTAAGTTAGGAAAAAAAAATAGTGGTCATAATGGTGCATTCTTCCAACCTGACAAGGACAATATCCCTGAAAATGGCCAGGACCAAGATTAGTTGCCACAAAATTGTCACCTGCTTGCTTGGAAGCAGGACCTCAGCTGCAGCCCTGAGCTTTCATACCAAATGTTAACCCAGAGGGATCACAGTTCTACTCCAGTGGAAGACAAGCTGCTCTTCAGGACAAAAAGAAGTAGTATTGCGGCACCTATTTTTCTATACCTGCCCAGGACATCTTCCACCTATGCACTTTGGATCTGCTTATTTTCCTTCTCTTTCTCTGCTTCTTTCTCCTCTTTAGACTCAGAGCCCAGCCTGAGCTGAGGTCCCTCATCAAAGAGACTAGGCAGCCCTTTTCTGAAAGAGAAGCGTAACTGGTTTGCTCCTACCTCTCTTTTCAATCACACAATGTCTGTCCTTAACAAATATACCAGAGCCCAGGTGAATGAGAAACATCCCTTTGCTGCTGGCAAAAATTCAGGCTGTTTTTCTTTTTAAAAGGTAACCATATCTATAGCATTGCTGGGCAGTACTGTTTAAGTACGGCAGATCAGATGCTGTCCTGATTTATAACCTCTGCCAGCCTAAGTGAATGAAGGAGACAGCGACTTTGCACACTCCCTGTGAAAGGCAAGATGCCCAGATATAATGTGTATGAGGACATATCTTTAAGGACTCTTTCTAGCCCACCTGGCATGTCTCAAGAAGGCAACTCAGCCAATATGAGAGTATTTACCTTGCTGCTTGAAAAAGAATAAGCAGGCCTGGGCATAATGCAGCCCAGCCACAGCAGGCTCTCAGGGCTCTACCGCCTTAGTCTTGTAAATCCCTCTGACGATAATAAGGGTTGCATGAGTGAGACACTAACTTTGATTTTGTATTTTAATCACAGAGCTCAAAATGTGGAGCTTGTTGGCAGCTGGCAGCCTTGCCTGCCTTTCCACTGCACCCCACGGGAGCATGGCTTTAAAGTGCAGCAGCATGCTGAAGTGTCTTCTGTTCACCACAGAGCGGGGTGTAAAGCAGCTTTTAAGAAGACGGAGCATCTCCAGGTGGTTAAGGGCATGGAGCTACGGTGAACGTCTGTGGTGGGCATAACCACGGGCCGGCAGGGTTAAAAGGGAGGCTGTCCAAATTCATCCAAGACGTGCAAATCTTGAAACACGTAAACCCTACATGCGTCAGATAAAGAAGCCAGAAAGAAAGGTGCCCCCTAATGAGTTTTTTTTGCGCTTGGGTGAGCGAAAGGGGTGCTTTGGGAGGCTAATAACTGAAAACCTTCCAGGCTTTTGTCCGGAGAAATGGCAGGCACTTTCCATCCCTTTGAAAAAAAAGAAGGCCTTTCGGAGTCTTCACGAGAGATGTGGATTTTAAGGGCGACCTTAGGTCATACAGAACTAATCAAGCGAAAACAATAAGAAAATTAGACTGACAGTCAGCAAGTATCTGAGGACTTTATCAAAAAGAATTAGGAATGGACAAATTCACTGGGAGCAAAGGATCAGATCTGCAAGGTGGCATTGTGTGGTGGGATTAAATTATTTATTCATTGTTAATTTATTTATTTATGTATGTGCAAATGACCTAGCTGCTGCAGGTGCTGAGGAGTTTCTGAAAAGGCCCAGTTTTAGAGCCAAGGCTAGAATATTGGTCCATTTAACTCATTCTTTTCCTTAAGGCGATCAAACAGTGACTTTTATCTAGGAGATAGAGGAGGAAAACCATATGTGTACTGGGAATGATGTGGGCTCTGCGCAGCACTAAGTACCCAAGTATTCCAGTCTCATTCAAGAACGCTGTGCAGTTTAATGTCCAGCAAATTAGCAAATGAATGCTTATGTCAATATGTGAAAAATCCCTAGTTGGTTTAAACAGATAAAAAGCCTCTCGGGAAATGGCAGAAAATGCAGGCTTTCTCGCCCTGTCTCTTTTAAAGAAAGAAAGAGAAACAGTACTTATTAAGTTTTCCCCAAACTTACAGAAAGTTGCAGAAAACAACAACAGTCTACATGGATGCTGGATCTCATACATCCATTAAGTATTTCCAGTGCTGCTACTGCAAAAATACACCAAGCTTTTGCCAGGCCCTCTTTGAATCACACACTTGCTATTCAGAAGAAAACAGTTAAAATCTGGGACAGCTACAGAGCCTGTTAGATGCCATCCCACTACCCCTCTCTTAAAGGTACAGGAGGTCAAAAGCCCTGGAAAGGGTCCATCTTTCCATTTTGCACTTATTTATAAAACCAATCTCAAAGATGATATCCACAAACACCTTTTGTTTTTCCTTCTCCAAATTTAACCATTACTAGGAAAGGGTAAAAATTGTTATCTCATGTTTCCCTTGACCCAGCAGTGCAAAGCCACAGTGGGGACTCTGTGTACAACATGACCCTGTGGAAAAAAGGAACATGAGATCTCAGCATGGGGGTTGGAGGCAAGAAGTCACACATATCTAAAATGTCAGTGTCATGTCAGTTAATGCCATGTGATAAGGGAGTCCTGCTGGGTTTTACGTCCTTTTGCAGAGATACACTTGAAGGTTGGCTGGTAAGGCGGATTTTTCACTAAATCCAGAAAAGGACTGTAGATATTTGGCCAGGACAGATCATAATGGATTCTCTTTCTCCAGGACAAGCATCAGTAGTGGTGCTGGGGATAGCAAAACTGCCCCATGATACACATCTTGAAATCAGACTGGCAGGTTTATGCAGAATGCTATCTCACAGGCTTCTGCTTCAAACATGGCATTTCCCTCCTCTTGGCCAGTTCTAGGGCTTCTTCTCAAAACCAGCCTTCTCCATGTTACTTTGGAGTAAGAGCTACTCAAGTGAAAAATAGATGGCATTTTAAAGAACAAATGTGTTTGGTAATACTACATTTAAAACATTAACTCAGATTGAAAGTTCAGTGAGTGAGTTTCCCAGGCCATGCAAAAAAAATCACACACAAGCCATATTGAAAGTCTGTTTGCTCCCTGGGGCCAGAAAGACCTCCTTTCTCCCTTGAACACTGATGTGTGAGGATGAATTTGGTCAATACGAATGCCAGCATGTCACTAAAATGCTGTGAGTTACCTTCCACAGCCTTTGGCACACAGTAACCAGGGAGCCTGTGGGGCTATGGTCTCACTCCATGGGCTGTAAGGGTGCATTTTAAAAAGGCTGGACCCAAAAGCAGAGTTATACAGCATTAAGAGCTCAGTCATCTCAGGAACAAGCATCACAGGCCAAATCTCTTCTTGCTCATAATTTCAAATGGATACAGTTGCAGCTCACAAGAGAAATACTTAGTATACAACTTCTCTAACATTTTGTGTTTGTTTCAGTGTCCTGTTATTAAAAGAACTCTTTCACTTCAGAGACTGTGGGGACCCGTACGTAGGATGCTAAGAAAGGCTGTGCTCTACTTGCATCTCTGCTATGGCACTTAAGGATGCACACAGGCACAGTTTCTGCCTCTGTTTTCATGCATGTAAATCAGAGATCAGAGCATCTATTACATCTGTATTTAAGATGTATCACATCTTACAATTATTAATTTGCCTTATTAATTTTCTTAATTCTAATACTGCCATTGGTTTAAGATTTGTCTTCACAGAGCCATTCTGCATAGAGCTTCTCAGTACTCCCCAGTTCAGGCAGCCAAGCTGTTGAAATCCCTTGTATTTTCACAATGCAGAAGGCAAAGGATGGTGCCAGAGATTTTCTCAGCTAGCCTTCAGTAAAGAGGCAGTGGAAGTCATACATGAGGATACCTGTTTGTATGTAAATACCTACAGATATTGGAAATACGTCAAAAAGGAAAATTAGAAAAGGAAGGCAGCACTTCAGCAGCTATGAAGTAACATGAGGAAACCAACCTCTCTGAGCCAGAGGAAGGCAGTCCAAGTAGGCTCTGGGGAAGTCCTGTCACCAAGTTCAAGGTGCAGCAGCTACAACTAGTTGTTAAAGACTTCTGGGATGTTTGCATTTTACAAATAACAGCCTTCACTGTGTAAAGTCACTGTGAAATTAATGTGCTATTTCTCTATTCAGTGCATGGATGTTTAAACCTCCTGCAGGGAGAAAAAAATTACAGCAATTAAAAGGCAGAGTAAGTGATGAGACAAACCAGAATATTATGCTGCCTTTCAAATGAAAATGTTGTCTTTTTCACAACAGATATTTCAAAATAGATCCACAGATCTTACTGAAACACAAAGATCTATTCTTAAGAAAAAGCAAAGCCCATGTAAATAGATGATCACTATTGTTGTAACAGTTTTCAGCAGAAAAGCTAAAGGTAAAGGGGGACAAAAATGCAGAAGATCATAAAAAGACATGCAAAAGCAGAACAATGTTAAGAAAGTTGTTATTAAAAAATCCTGTTGAAGCTGAACAGATAGTTTGCACTAATAAATACATCATGAAATGGCCCAAAGAACCCTCCTTAGAGTAAAGGAAGTTTGGCTTAGCTGATTAGGCACTCAGTAAGACAAACACAAAGGTGGAAAGTGCAGTGTAAACCTGCCCTTTGGGGTCTGGTCCATGATGGTGGTGTCTAGCACACAAGCGTTTTCAAGTACACTTAACATTTTCCCTCCCACTCAAAATGCGCAAGCACTACTGAGTTAGTCCCCAGCTTCAAAATCAGAGGGTCTGAAACACTAGAGTGTTCTGAACTACCCACTCCCTGAATGGGAATGCTCTTCTCAGTTATGAAAAAAGGGGAAAAAAGCCCATTTCTGGACTTTTTTTTTTTTTTTCAAAAATTACAATATTAAACAACCTTAAATACGTTTTGCAGGAGGGAGGATGAACCTTTAATATACTCACTGTGTGGTTGGTCACAATTTCTGTATGCTCTTTTATACAGTATAGGGTCTTCTGAACAGTGTTTGAGATAACTGATAAAATACTGAGAGCAGGAAGAAGTTCAGACACCCAGCAGCTCAGCCCTATTTAGGTGTCTTCAGGAAATAAACTGGGAATTAGAAAGTTGTTTGACTGGTACAGATGCATATTGCAGCCTTCCTCTCAAAGAATTTCCTAGTGGTCCTACATAATTTGGTTTGGTTTACTTTAAGGGGAAGAAATACAGGGAAAAAAATAATGGAAGCAGAAATCATATTGCTGAATACCACCAGAACAGAGCCCCTTAAAAAGTCTACAGAAGTAATATCATTCTATAAAGACTCTGCCCGTTCCAGAGATAACATACATGCTGTTTCCTACACTTTTATCTGGGATTAGCACATAAAAATACAATTTATACACAATCAAACACATTAACAATTAAAGGAAAGGGTATTTTCACATTTTATATTGATTAGAAGCTGCCAGGGAAAAATAAAAAGGCAAAATTTATAGATCAAATTTTAAATCTTATGGTAGGCTACTAAATGAAGGAAACAGCTTCACAAAGTCTCCCTGACTGCTGAGATGACGTTGCTGCAAACATCCAAGAGTTAATTGAAAGTTAAGTGTAAATACATAGAAAGCTGTATTACCCAATTCAGAAACCTAGACTAAATGATGCAAGAGTTTTGCCTAGAACTGTTATCATCTTTGACTCTTTTTTTCATGAGACATCCCCTCTAGAAAATCAAGAACAAAAGGAAAAAAAAAAAAAAAGCAAGTATGGCATCACATATCCCTGGGATGGAGAACATTTCTTTCTTCTTCTTCACAGAAATACAGGAAGTCACAGTGGTAATTCAAAGCCGTGTTAGAAAACCAGCATGAAATTATGAAATAAAAATAACAAAAATATTCTGTAGGTCCTAACTGCTCTTGGTCTATTGGCAATTCATGTACAAGTGTCTGAAAATCAGAAACAGAATGTAACTTGTTTATTTTTATGTTCGTGGCACCTTAAATTAAAGGTTGTAGTGGAAATTCATTTTTATTTTTAAAGAACTGTCCAGTTATAATAGCCTAGTTGTCACAGAGAAATGGAAGCAACTCCTAAATACCTAATTCTAAACTGTATGAGTAGGTGAAGCCATCCAAAGGTAGCAGTGGCATTATGCATGGGATGTACATTATGTACTCCTGGCCTGGAATGATTTGAACTGTCATGCTTCAGCTGCCCCAGCAGCTGAAATTAGAGGAGTCAGGCACCCAAGTGCAACTGTCTGTGCCTGAGGCACCAGGTCACTAACAGCAATGAGATCAATAGTAAGATGGCTGGTACACACAAGAAAAGGGATGTGGCAGGTGTATCTTCCCATGGGCTGGCACTTTTAAGATTCCTTGGTCTGTAATTGCTTCAGACCTTCAAGTTCATTCAGTTTGATTTATATGAGAATAAGATGGAGCAAAATCTGAATAGCAGAACTATGAAAAAGGCACAAACCAACACCCCATTTACAATATGACTGCTTCAAACTTTTGGCCAGACTCAAATCAAAACTACTTGGTTTTGCCTGGATTAAAACTAGATCAGAACACCCTGAGATGTGCACAGACCAAGTGCAACTAGGACACAGCACCTCACATGCCTCTACATTTCACTGTAAGTAAAACGGGTAAGGACTGGGGAAGACGCACTGGAAAATTGAAAGATCTATTGTGTTTCTATTTTTGTACGAAACTTGCTTGGCATGTGCTGCTGACTGCTGCCTGCGCATCCACATGCTGTCGTCTGATGGCTCAGGAATGCAAGTGGGACATGACAGTTCAAGCAGGACGTCAGCTCCTGAGGCTGTGCCAGACAGCTCTAGCAGAAGCTGTGCTACAGCCTGGAATGAGACTGCTTTTGTGCACTTATTTCCAGTTTAGCTCATGCTGCTTGGGCATGTCATGTACCTGAGGATGGACCCTTCTGTTTGCTCCTTAAACTCCTGTTGATATTGGACAGTTTGGTTTAAAATATCTTACAGCAGCCTTAAGTCCGTCTTAAAGTTTCATCAGCTAGAAGGGCTCTCCCTCCCACATTTTCAGTCCCCTGCCTCACCAGGTCACTCTCCAGACCAAGACTCACAAGAGTCCAGGTCCCCCTGGCCACCATTAGCTGCCTCCCTTCTCCCTCTGCTCTGCAGTGTACAGCAAAGAGATGCACCAGCAGAAGTACTATGCCCACCAAAGATTTCTCTGCAGAGAGGGGCTATCCAGATGCAAACTAGAGTGGCTTTCCAGATATTTAAGTAATGTTTAAGATCTACCCAATTATAAGACAGAACAGCTAAGGTGGGGAAGAAATTTCACATGAATAAATAGCAGGAAACTTAAGGTTAAATGTAAACATGCGGAATGGGCAGGGAAATGGCATTTTGTTTAAGGCTGTCCTCGGTCATGAGCTAGTTGAGGTCTGAACACTGGTAATGTCAATGTCAGGAAATTTGGCAGGGGAAAGCGCTGCTGCTGCAAGTGCTGGACTTCTACCAGAGCTCCCATACTTGGGGCTGGCAGAATGGGATAGCGTTTCATCTGCTGTTTTAAAGCACCCATAGCCATCTCATGGAGAATGCAACGCACTGTATCTGACAGCACCTATAACCAAACAGAAAATAAAAGAAAACAAAACCCCCCAGAACAACCCCTCCACTTTCCCACCACAAATCATCGGGGGCAAAGTGCGGATGTTCCCTTCTGCTCGCACACCACATCCTTCCTCGCCGCAGCAAACCCCTCGCCGCTCCCCCTGCTGCTCAGCCCCGCGGGCCGGGCCGGGCCGGGTCGGGCCGGTGCAGGTGCACGGGACCGCTGCGCCCCCTGCAGCTCCCGGCGCGGCAGCGGCGGCGGCCGAACCCCTCTGCAGGCAGCTGCGGCGGTCACCGCGTACCCTACTGCAGCTGCCTCGTGGCTCGCAGAGGGGCGGGAAGGAAGGAACGGTTTTGGCTGAACCACTTCTGTTTCCGGCCTGCAAAAATGACTAAGTCGGAGGTCGCCTTCTCAGCCCATCTGTAAACCCCAGCCTTGGCGTTTTATGCCACCACAAGTAACTAATATGACTGCTTCACACGTCTTCCCGCTGCCAAGAAGAAATGCTGCAAACCCTATTTTTGATCTAAAACTCATCTCAGACTTCTGGAGGAATAAGAAAGAAGCCAAGCCGTGGATTTGAAACTTATTTGCTGTGGAAAGCTCTGCCAAAAGACACCCTCTGCTTTTCTGTCAGGCCCCGTATTTCCACCTCGTTCTACAGCTGCTGAGACTGAGGTCAAGTGATATGTCACTCTGTCAGATCACACAGTGAGTCAGTGGCTCTTCCCGGATTAGAACGATTCCACAAGGCCTTCTGAAAAGATTTGTAACAAATGTCAGCGCCAACCGTTCACTGCTTAAAGCATATGTTTAAAGCTCTTAGACATCTCAGTCAAAAGGTATTGTAAATATAGGGACAAAGCTAGTAAATGCTTCGTTGTGGAGTTTTAATAATGGCAAACCAGAATCTAGCAGGGATTAAGAAAAAAACTGAAACAGGTCACTTTTAAGCAAGGAATATGTGCTCTGTTTTGGAGCCCTTCCAAGATCAGGAAAGGATTTGAGGTTTTTCCCCTCCAGTAGTAACCAAAATGGTCAAGATGCTAGTGGTAACGTCACAGGGGAGGAGGGCACAAAGTAGCTCGAATATAACTTCCTCTTTCTTGCTTGTTAGCATTCCTGGGCATTGTTTTCAGTATCTTTTTTTGTGATTAAAAAAAAAGAACTGAAATGGCCATTCTGTTATGCACAACACAGACAAAAATGCCTTGACATAATTCTTTACTACTGTCATCAAAATACAAGAAATTTCCTTGCAGAAATCTTACATGCGTAGAGATTAAATGTAATTTTAAAGTTATATCAAAACCTCCTACACAACTGCACCCCTTTATAATGTCATCTTACCAGGAAAAAAGTATTCCAGCTATTTAGAAAAAGGCCATGACAAGGCCCACACATGACTCAGGTCCCACTGGCAACTTGTTTGAGGTTTAGAAGGAAGGTAGAGGTTTAGAATGGTGTAGAAGGAGTGTGACTAATGTGCTGGTTCTGTAAGCAGAACCTAAAAAGAAGCAAAGATAAAGCTGGGAAGACTAAAGTGAACTTCTCTTTCGAAATCTCTGGACAGGTCAAACTAAGATAATATCAATAGATGTACATAACAAAGGAAATGTTCATTGTACCATGTGAAATCTTCCCATACTGTCATTCCATGCTGTTTTCTAAGAAACCTGGTCTCTCTGAGCTTCTCTCAAATATCAATCACATTGTGCTGCTCTTTATGCCTGAAATGGTCTATTAAAAACATGGTGGTGAAGTAAC